GGGCTCTGCAGCTGGTGTTGAGGGGTGGAGTGGGTGAATTGGAGCCACCCCACTTTGGGGGGCCTGTAATACACTGGCCCCACTCTGTAGGGGGGGCTGAAAAACCCTAAGACTCAACTCCTTCTGCTCCCTTGCCCCCCTCCCATTCTGAAAACACCCACAGGTTGGGAGCCCCAGCAGACACACGTTACACAAGACACTACGTTTTGAAACATCTTTAGCTGACACCACATGCAATGAGGGGCCAGATTTTCACCCAGTGGGCCATTTAAGCTGTTTGCAGCCGTGCACTTGTGTTTGGTCACAGCGATGAACAGCTTTCTGGGGGACAGGAGTAAACAATGCATGTGGAAATTCAATTTTCACTTATAATACAAATATTGGCAGTTCCTCATACCCTTTTCATATTGAATACTTTGAACAAAAGGTTCTAGACCATACCGTTTCCTGAGGCAGGTTCCTGGGCTGGTCCCCGGGTAGGTCCCTGGGCTGGCCCTTGGGCTGGACTCTGGGCAGGTCCCCAGGTTGGCTCTCGGGCAGGTCCCAAGGCCGGTCCCTGGGCTGCACCTCGGGCCCAGGTTGTTCCTCCCGCTGCTCCCCGGGCTGGCCCTTGGGTTGGACTTTCGGCAGGTCCCAAGGTCGGTCCTCCAGATGGGCCTCCGCCTGGCCCTCGGGGTGGTCCCCCGGCTGGCCCTTGGGCTGCTCCCCGGGCTGGACCTCAGGCAGTTCCCCGGGCTGGTCTCCTGGCTGGTCCGCAGGATGGTCCTCGGGATGGTCCCCAGGCTGGCCTAGATACCCCAGTTTATTTTGAGCTAAATGAGGTGAGTGAAAATGGCTGTACCAGCCTTAGTTATGTATGGATAGTTTATGAAAAGAAGCCACAAAAATAAAATTTTTAACAATTGTTCACAAAAATCAGCTCCTTGTCCTCCATTTCTGATTCCTTCCATCCCCAACTGGCATCTCCTCTCTCTCTCTCTTTATCTTAACTCAGTAAAATCAACTCTAAATCTTGTTCTACAAGATGTTAACCTCTTAATTTCCACTGGAATTTCCCCTATAGTCCCTCTTAATTTCCACTGGCATTTCCCCTATAGTCTAACTCATTGACACTTCTCAGTCAAGTGAGGTGTCTGTCACTCAAAGTTTAAGAACCTTTTTCAAATATTACTACAAGAAATAAGTGCAAGAACAAAACCCCTGGAAACTTCTGCTTGCTTTGAACAACAGTTGGATCGAAACATAGACCTGAACATTTTCTTGGCCCACTGGAACCAAATCCAGGAGAGAACCTCATTAGACACCTATTAGCAACCTTGGGGATGTTGAATGTTTTTGGGGCTGAAGAAAAAGTTGGCCGGGGAACTCCCTTTTTGAGGGATGCAATGCATCTTTAATCCACCTTTAAATGCCTGAGTTTATCTGGCGGTGAACCCAATTCTAAAATAACACCTTCTTTCTGGAACATCCACCAGGTCAAGTTTATGGGGTTAAAATACTGCTTTGCTTTTGTATCCTCTATTTCATATATCATTTCCTTTCACTTCTGTGCCAAAGCGAGACATTAGCACATTGCACCAGGTCCAAGAAGCATACCCAGCAAGTGATTTGCCACAGGAAAGTTTCTAACTGGGTTAAGGACCGTGTGTCAATTTGACGCTGGACATATAGCATTCTTGTATTGCCACAGCTCACCATTGTTTCAGCAGGTCTTTGACCTGGAATGTAAGTTATTTCTCTGTCCTTGGAGGTCAGAAGCCCATCACTCAAAGAGGAAAAAAGAGTCACCCGCACTTCCTGTGCTATGGTGGTCACTAGCAAGACATGCTTCACGACAAAAAGGCTTTTGCCTGAAGCTGCCTTTGGTCAGAGCACGGTAACATCTGATGAGATTTTTCTCTTTGCAAGGGGAGAAGTAGGTAGAGAGCAGCTTTGGCCATACTTCCAAGGTGCTGAAAATCCAAAGGCAATTTGCCTCTTGGCTGCTGCTCTGACTCTTGTGCGCTGGCAAATTCTCTGAAATGCCAAGTTGCCAGTTTCCAATCCGCACGACCAGGCCTGTGATTCCCCACTGCAGATTTGTATTTCTACCCACTCTTTACCCACTCTCCCAGGAGAGAGTCACCAGGGACAGAGCCAGAAAAACCCAAAAGTCTACAGGGCCTGATCCTGTCGTGTAAGTGATATCAGGATTAGGCCCTGGCAATATAATTGTTGCTAACATTTACCTCCCAAAATGCAATTCTTTAGTGCAGTTTCGGAGATGATGAAGTGATAGCTTGAAAAAAAATATAACTTACTCTCATTTTCTGCTTCGTTTTGAAACTGGTGGAGGAGGTGTTTTGCCTCCATTTCAATGTCACAGCCAGGGACGTTCTTGTTCAGATGTGCTATTACTTTCTCCAGCGTGTGGTACTTCGGCGGCTCTCTGAAATCTTCAGGGCTGAAGTGCAGCCAAATTTTCAAGAAGAAGATGATTGGACTGAAAAGAAATACATTGACAAAATCCAGTCATAATCAGTCTTTGTAACAGTGATATTTGTCATTCAAACTTGTATAAAAAGATGAATCTATTCCTTCTGCTACGAGCAAGCAAGGAATTCTGATCTGGGCACCTTTTTCCGTAATCCTGGTCTAAACTCACTGACACACATTTTACCACTCTTAATTACTGATCAAGCTACTGAATGAACACTGAATTGTATCCTCAAGATGCAAAATATAGGACAATTATAACTATTTTTAGCTATATCACCATCCTCCAATTTGATCTAGTATTACAGCAAACAAAGTAAAAGAGACACAAGAAACCACGAACATCCTGCCCCAAACACAACCTTTACACAACACACAAATTGCCTGGCTTTCTCGCTTTCTACTTTTCTTGCTTCCTTTTTTTCTTGCTACATTTGGGCCACTTTCTGCAGTGCTTCTCTCCTAGTGTCACACAAAGAAGAAATGCCTACTTGAGGGGGTAAACTTCAGCTGAGCCACTACAACAGCTTTTGAGGTCTGCCAGTCTCTCCCCTTGCTCTCCCACAGACAGGCAGGAATAATGCCCATTCTCCTGTACAGACATGATACATAGGACCGTAAGAATCACAATCTGGGTCAGAGCAGAGGCCCGGCTATCTCGCAACACTGTCTCCACGAGTGGTAAGGAGCAGATGTTTTGGAGGACAAGTAGGAGCAAGTGAATAGAGAGATGCATCCTCCGTCTCGATGTTTGCTAAGTCACCACGCACGTGGACATCCCTAAGCCCTATGACTGACAGCCCCAGATTGACAACTTTCGAAAGGGTAGTTGCAATCTTTTCCTGAACCTGGTTATAGTACTGGCCTCCACAACTAAAATCCGGGGGTGATGTCTTTCACAAATTAGTGAGGTGTGAAAAAGTGCTTCCTTTTGGTTGTTTCAAACCTGCTGCCTCATCATTTAATGAGGTGGCCCTAAATTCTTGTATCAGGAGACCGTAAATACAGGTTTCCTTTGATTTCTTCTCTACACGCATTCCTGGAGCATGGCACATCAGTCAAATTTGCATAATGCAAACCCACTTTACAATTCATAGATTCATAGATGTAGGGTGGGAAGGGACCTTGTAGATCTGCTAGTCCGACCCCTGCCCTGGGCAGGAGAGAAAACTGGGCTCAAATG